AACACTTGACAGTCTCATTCTACTTTGTGCGTCCCTGCCTGCCCGTTGTACCGAACTCGTAAGTTGCTACCTATTTTCAATTATAACTCGAAAACTAAGCTTCGGACAAAATTTTGTAAAAGAAAAATCGTCTCAGAATTCGCTCAAGAATATGGCATTGCAAGGACATCAGGTTATTTTGAATCACCTTGTATATATAATATTTTATATTTTTATTATATATATATAATAATTTATATATATAATATAAAAATTATTATATACAGGGTTTTATTTTTTATAAAGATATGGGCAAGCACGAATCATATCAATTAATAACTCATAACCATATTTTATATATTTATTGAACGAGTTTTGATGAATGCGTCCAGTCTATCGCTCAGACACTCTTCCTCTTCTATGTCCTCGAAACGACTCGAATAATCACGATGATCGAACATATTGCTGCAAATAGAGCTCTAGTTGTATGACATATGAATACACGCGCCAAAAGTTCGTAAATATATATATTTTTCAGTAGAACGTCTTTCGCCATTGTCCGATTCCTAATTGCCATTCTTGTCTGCTGTCCCACTGTTCCTCTATTAAATTCCTTTTGCTTATAGACTTCCGTATCCCTGCCTCCCATGTTGTTTTTGGCCTTCCTCTCTTCCGTTTTCCTGGAGGTATCCATTCTATTACTTGCTTAGGGAGTCTATTTCTGTCCATTCTTTGTACATGTCTGTATCAGACTAATTGTTTTCTCTCAATATCGTCCATTATTGAACCTTTTATTCCCATTCGTTGTTTAATTTCCTCATTTCTGATCTTTTCGTGAATTCCTCATAGATCGTTGAATGACATCCATTTCTGTTGCATCCAACCTTCTCTTGTTTCCCTCCGTTAGCCTCCATGTTTCGCATCCATACAGCAATACACTTTTTACCATTGTTTCATAGATGTTAAATTTTCTCTTTTTCGTTATATTTTTATTCCACAAGATCCCATTCATACATGCAATAATCCTTCTCGATTGTGTTACTCTACTGCCTATTTCTTGGTCATCCGTTCCTTCTCGGTTAAATGTTGTTCTCAAGTATTTATACTCCTTGCAAGTGCTGATTTCTTTGTTCCCATCTATTACAAGATTCTCTGCATCCGATCCCATGCAAAGGTAGTTTGTTTTTTGAATATTTACCGTTAATCCCCACTTTTCATACTCCTCCATCAATTTTCTTACTATGTACTCCATATCGTCTCTATCGTTTGATACCACCGCTTGATCATCCGCAAATTGGAGCGTGTATACCTTGCCGAAAATGTGCGATTAAAACCGATTAAACGGAATCCTTTTTAATCGATTCAATCCACGAGCGGATTAAAAAGTAATCGGTTTTAATCCCACACGAATCGTAATTAATTTTACTATCGCTTTCGCAAATTATTTTTAATCCAAAATAATTACATTCTAATCCATACTGTTATCAATCCAAATAAATTTGAATAATCGGATGGATATACAGGGTGTCCCAAAAATTTTGACACAGCGCTTGTATGCTGGTAGAGAAGAATAAACTGAATCAAAAAGTCCTCTACCATTTTGCAATTTTCGCAAGGGTTAATGAGATATTAATTATTAAAGATCGCCGAATAAGCGCGTATCCGCTCAGCCCACCGCCGAATGCAAGCGCACGGCGAGATACGTTTTTATGATTTTTCACCTGAAATGTTTTAATTGTGAAAATCACAGAAGTTTCATTTATTTTAAGTATCAGTTGTTTTGAATTTTTTGGAAATTTTTAACAGCATAGAGGTATATTAAATTAAAAAAAAAGAAATAATATATATGTCAAATATATGTAAGATTATATATGTATAAGAATGATATAATAGTACAAAGTACAGTACAAATAGTAACAAAAATTGTTTTTTTTTTGTTAAAATATTTTAAGAAAGCTTACAATTAAAAATTTTATTTTTCTAATTTTATAAATTGTTTATATTACTATTGTACTTGAAAGTGTAATGCATAATATAAAAATTTTAAAACATTTCAATTCAGTTGCATTAAAACTTTTAATACTCTCCGCGACCACGTTTTGGAATCCTGACATTAGAAGCAAGAAATGATATACTGAGACGCTGAGAATTCTTGCGTGCCATTTTTAAATAAAAAGCTATTTTAATAAAATAACATTGTAAATCATGTTAACAAATTTGTAAAATTGTTCGAAAATTATTTTTTTTTCTTGGCGGTTGTTTAAAAAAGCATAGCTTTCAGACAATTTTACAAATTTATTAACATGATTTATAGTGTTATTTCATCAAAATATCTATTTAAAAGTGGCACACAAAAATTTTCAACGTTTTAGCATGTCACGTCGCATTAAAATTCGATTTAATTATAATTTATGAAATTCTGTAATTGCGGATTGATATGGATTTATCCCAATATTAATCCGTCCGAATTGTACTAAATCCAATCTTATTTTTAATCGGTTTTAATACCGTATTTTCGATGCAGAAATCCCGATCGATTCGGATTACTTTTTTTTAAATCGGTTTAATCGCATATTTTCGGCAGGGTAACAACTATCGAGGAATCTCAGTAACAAGCACAATGAGTCGGCTGTACGGAAGAATTTTGAGGGACCTGATTGAGAGGGAGTATAGCAATCTTGAGGAGGAAGAACAGAACGGGTTCAGAGCTGGAAGATCATGTACAGACAACATATTCTGCCTAAAACAAGTAATTGAGAAAAAGATGGCAAGGAATCAAGAGGTACATATAACATTTACAGATCTCCAAAAGGCATATGATATTGTACCAACAACAAAGTTATGTGGGAAGCCCTTCAAGAATCAAATATTAACTGCACCTCACGATGTAAGAATATAAGGTGATTTCACGACCATTGTATTCTATCAAAAAATCTGTGATCACGATGTCATAGTTAAGGCATGTCACACAAGATGTCACGTTGGTGCAAGATCCCAAGTAAAAAAGGATAGAAGATGTGGATAGATGTGGATAGAAAAGGATAGATGACGAATCTCTAAAGCACATCTATATATAATTATAGTCCTAAATAATACAAATTTTTTAAAATAAAACTTTTAACATTGTGTATAAAAATATATATTGCTGACAAAATATTTTTTATTTTTATAACAAATTATTCTTAGTTAAATTTGCAGAAAAATAATTAATAATGTATTCCAGTTTTATAGAAATTAAGTTTTTTTAAGTAAAATGAATATTTATAATTAAGTTCTGCAAGACAATAAAATTTTAATAAAATTTCTATATATGTGTATATATATATATATTTAAAGTCTCTCAACACGTAGCCACCTAGCGGTTCAATGTGGAACAATGACAGGAAAATCACAAAAATTTGTTGCCGTGAAATCACCTTATATTCTTACACCGTGCTACACCCTTAGAACATATATACTGGAAGGGGCATAGCTGACTTGCCGTTGTCCTCAACATCTATCTATCCTTGTCTGTACATTTTATTGCAATACGCATGCGTCGATTATGTTGATGTGTGTGATGACAAACTAGACAAGTTTATCTATGACAAGCCTTCCAATATAATCAAGTCTAAAGAAATAATCATAAAAAAGTATACAAAACTAATACTATTTAAACATCAATGAAGTTTTAAATATTTTTTTATTATTTATTATAATAATTTTATTGTACTAGTTACTATATATACAAGATATAATTAAAAATAAGATAACAAACTTAGTAGAGCGAGAATATTACATAATAAT